ATTGCATCTTCTGGCATTTTCTGGGGGTTTTGGCGGACCTGTAAAACATAGTTACTATGAAAAGTGGTTAAATAAATTAGTGGGTATTATTATGGGAAATCTTTTGAAGAGAAACAGAGTTTTCCGATCGAAAAATATTGATTTTCGAGAATTCTATACCATTTCTACGAAAAGTTGTTTTTTTTTTTGTTTTAAATTGTAAATACATTTGTGCAGGTCATTACTGGCCACTTACATTCGCGTTAGCACACTTATTGCTTGTCAAGTAATTTAGTTGTTGCCTTAAACAAGTAATTTTTAAAATTTTTATCTCCTTCGCTCTTTTATTCTTTATCATTACATTAGCTTAACTTTTAATTTTCCATTTTTTTTCCATATCTTCTCTAACTGCGCTTTACTCAGCTTTTCATGGCAACAGCACATCCTAAACTCTACTCATTTTTATTTCTTTTCTGCTTTACTTTAACTTTCAATCCACATTTTTTCCCACCTGCCCACTGCACTTTTTCCATTCCTCTCACCACATATAGACACATATGCCCTTCTCAACTAAGTACCTTGTTTACATAGTTTGTGGATACTATTTAGGTTTGCAGCGCTTAATTGAAATTAATTGAGAGTAGTAATGACATTAAAATGTGACTTAATTATGCAGCAGACTGTGTACGTGCCTGTGTGTATAAGTGTGTTCTATGTACATTAGGGTGGTCCAAAAATGCATGTGAAAAGGTAAAGTTGGAACTTTAATGCTGAGAGGATTGTTCTATACTGAAAAAAGTATACCGCTATTTTTTATTTTGAAATCAAAAAAATATATAGAGGTCGCTCAAAGCGCTCAAAGTTTTCCATGTATTTTATTTTGGGGAAAAAACATTTTTTCGTTGTTGAATAGGATTCTTGAAAATCAATATTTTTCGATTGAAAGACTCAGGAGATTCCCAATAATAATACTCAATTGCTTATTTACCTATTTTCTCATGGTAACTATATTTTATAGGTCCGCCAAAATCCCCCAGAGAATGCAATGAGGGACCAATTAAAAAGCTTTAGCATTAAAAAAAGGTTAAATAAACAATTGGATCTTATTATTGGAAGTCTCCTGAAGAGGACCAGTGTTTTCCGATCGAATATTCAGGCCGATTTTGAACAGAAACTACCTGGGAGTTCTCTCTCTTTTCCCTTTTCTCCTATCATGAATAAAAAATCCCTGCGAATTTTTTATTTCAAATGGCGAAGTGGAGCTGTCAAAAAAGTGTTAAACAGCTCTTACGAAGTTCGAATTTTCTCCTCCAAAATTTTCGGGGAAAATGCTACTCCCTGGGAGCTATTTACTGGAGGATTTCTTTCTTCCGAGAAACAAATTCCCGGAGAACCAGCTCCCCGGGAGTATTCAGAACTGGCCCAAGAATGATAGAATACAAGATTGCGCCGATTGCAGCAGAATTCGTGAGAGTAATTTTAGCGTGACGTCATCGTAGAGTTGACAACTGAGAGCGGCGAGAATGAGGGCGACTAGTGATGTGCTGAATTGTCCCCAATACTCGGTACCCAATACTTAAAAAATATTTCGGTACCCTATACTTCCTTTTCGGTATCCGATACCGATTATTTACATTAAACCCTCGCCATTATATGCATTTCAGGTTTAGAAAAAACTTTCATTACTAATTTATATGATATCGGCTAAAACACTTGAACTTATCGCCACAGAAAAATATTATTTTATCAGTTTTAACCTTAGTCGATCCAAGGTTCAAGAAAAATACTTTGACGGATGAAGAAGCCTTTCAGGGGAGAGATTCTGTAGCCAGTTAGCGACAAGTTTCGGATCGATATCGCACTTGTTGACTTACAAATATTTGATATCAAACGTCGACAAAACCGATACCGATTCGAAAATTGTCGTTAACTGGTTACAGAATCTGTCCCAGGCCTACAAAAATGATATCGTCCGATTCAGCTGGAACAAAAATGCTTCAAACAAGTAAGGGTTTCTCTGTATTATGGCATCGAACCGACATATATACATCTTTCATTTGAATCAGTAAAAAAGCTCTATTGGCTCTTACATTCGGGTTTTGTTAGGCGTTTTTTGCATATATTTGGCCTATGTGCGCTTTTATTCGAAACCTAAATGTTTCGGTACCGAGTATCGAGAGTATTGGGTACTTAAAAGTATTGACTCAGCACATCACTACTGCTGTCTTCTCTACTATGACGTCACCAGAACAGCTGATTCTGTCAAAATCACTGAGAGCCGAGTAGCGGTATCGTCATCGGCGCCACCTCTGTATTCTCTCCACCGCCTTGTTGATTTTCAAAAGTTCTATACCATTTTTAAACAAGAAAAGTTGTTTTTCGCCATATAAAATACATGAAAAACTTTGAGCGCTTTGAACACTGCCTAAATATTTTTTGATTTCAAATTAAAAAAATAAGCGTACATATATTTTTTCGGTATAGAACAATCCTAGGGGATGGCGGCATTAAAATTCCGACTTTACTGTTTTTGGACCACTCTAATGTACATACATATGTGGCTCAAAGGCAACTCCTCATGTTTATAAAATGAATTCACATCAGGATACATATAGTACGAGTGCGAGTACGGGCAACAGCTCTTAAAGCGTCATAAGCCAGTGCCAATAACATACTGAACAGTGCTGCGGTTTGATTGAAAAGTGATGTGTGTGACTATGGTGGTAGATAGGTCTGTTATTGGTAAATTAGATTCAGTGGTAAAAGTCACAAAGGTAAATTAAGGGTGAGCAAATGATGCTTGTACATACATATATGCAAACGTGGCTATTTTTAGCCCTGCGACCTTGCGACGGGATATTTTATTAATGCAATGTAAGGATTTGCAAACAACAGAATTTTTTGTAAAATTCATAAATTTTACGCTTGACTCGCAATACTCTAACAAGAGTAGTTTAATTTTGTTTAGTTCTAGTAAAAAATTTCACTCAGACCTTCTTCTCCTTTATTGTCGTTGTGATTCGCCAGTGGTTTCTTTTCCGTGTCAACTGACACCAAATCCTTCTCCATCTGTTTTTCGCTCGCAGAGTAGGCCTTCCTCTCCCACTATTACCAGCATTGCAATCCGCGTTGTATATTTTCAGAGCTGGCCGTAGGTGAAAATTGGTCTAAATAAATACCCAATGTATTATCTGTGGCTGGTAAGGGCTTCACAGTCTATCATAAATTGCTCCCTTCTTTACTGTAACTTGTTACACAATCTCCACATTAACTTCGGTACCTTATACCATGTAAGCGACAAACTAAGTGTTAAGCAGGGACGGTTAAAGGATAGTGAATTCCTTTACGCAATTTTCTTCCCACCACATACTGCCCTGGATGCATCGTGGTTGCCTCGGGTTTTTTTGCCTGCTAGTGGCTGGTCTACTGCTTCTTGGTCGGGTCTGTCTAGCAGGAGATTCACTTTCTGTGCCCTTCGTCTCTGCTTCCTCTTAATTTGCTGAAAAATTAATAAAAATCTTTCCACTTTGTGCCGTAATTTTCCGTTCAATTCCTCATTTTTAGAGAAAGTAAACATCTCGTCACATCTTCTTGCCCTTTACTAACTTTAAGAAGAAGATGAACCCGATCCCTTAGACGATCACGTCGAAATCGATTTCCGACTGCTTAGCTCTGAATTCTAAATTCAAAAAGTATTGAAATTTGATTCCGCTGCCGCGACCGGTGGTGGAATCTATGCTGAAATAATTAGACTTACCGCTGGCCTTGAGCGAAGTTTAACTACGAGCCTGGCTGTTGCTGGTTGCGAAGTCTATAGACTTTCTAGACCCTTAACCTCCTCGCTCTTGGTATCAAGCAATCATGAGCGTCGGTTCTACAAGTAGATTGCGGCGTTATTGTCCCAACTTTATCGGTCATGGCTACCTGCAGTCTCATGGGCGAGTCGAAGGATGGAGAAGATTTCTGATTTTTTACTCTTTCATGGGCGGCTTGTCAGCTTTCCCTCTTTTCAGTGCCCTTACCAATAGTCTTGTTGACTGGGTCGCTGCCGTTTATTTAACATCATTAAGCTGTCTCGTTGGCCTCTTCATTCATCGATTTTTGCATCGATTTTTGTTCCCCTACGCAGGAGTGTATGTATGGTCAGGTTAGGTTGGGTAGGCGCGTACTCGTACTTCCACTCGGGCAGACCTTCATATTGTGAATTCCCTCTATGAGAGCCAAGAGGAGGCACATCCTTCTTACCGGAGTTACTCCATTTTGTCAGTGTAGTGTTTATTGAATCATTTACTGTCCCGAATGAAGCTTCGTAACTCGAATACTTTAACATCGACTATCCATCCATCCATCCATTGCGATATCTAAGGTCCTCGAAGTACAAACATACGCGGACTCCGCTTTCCAGCTTTTGGCCACCAAAGTAGTTGGAAATACCACCATTTAGCAGCAACTTGTTTTAACTTGTTTGCCTAAAGCTGGCTTAGAGACAGTCCCCTCTTTCCTTCCCTGTGGCACGGGGATACTATTAGCCCTCCAGCTAAATAAGTTGCTGGATATCGAGGCCAAATAACTTTCTCGTCCCCTGGGCATTGGATTTCCATCCCCTTCCTCTTCACTTACCTTCCTCCCCTCCATAAGACCAAGGTACACCTCCATCCCTTCTCTTCTATATTTTCTATCTTCCCCAAAAACACGCATTCGACGGCCCCTGACAGTTGTCGGGATCAGCCGTCGTTGTCTGCATTGCTGCTTTTGTTCTGTTTTCAGGCATTAGGTCATTTAACTCTAAATAACATGAAGAAATATTTATTGATTGTATGTCATCCTAGCAAACCTAGAAATTTCCATGTACTCGACGCACTTGGATTAAATTTTTCTGTAGACATCAGTATTAGCCTTCTTTCTCAATCAGAGGATGTAGCCATAACTTAATCGCACATATTTATCAAATACCACAACACGTGCCTCAATTCACTCGAATTCTATAAATCATTTTATTACTATCAGATTTCACATAGAATATGCTCCAGCAAATCACCAATTTCACCCCACTTCCACTAAATGAGCTTACGCATTCATCAACCACCACGAATACCACTGCGCGCGTAATCATTATTGCTGATGTTGGCATACTTTTAGGCGCCAAGAACACAACGTCACCGCAATTGATTTGCGGCTTCCAACAACGATATATGTATGTTTAATATTCGAACGCTAGAGTGTGGGGAAAAAATTTTCGGTGATCGAAATATACGCACGTGCGGCATTTGCAATGTACAATCATCATAACCGCCAAAATACCTGGCATACTTTTGTGTGCAAGAAATTGGCTCACGATTACAGCAGCACGCGTACCAAACGGTAATGTGTTGGAATGCCATATGAATTTTTTTAGTTGTATGGGTTGTGAAAATTACGCCGGCATTGGAAATAAATTCTCTTTTATTTTTTTTTTTTTACTCTGCAACTTTAACGCAACTATATTATTCTTGGAATTGTAAATTTTTTGCGGCATACTTTTGCGTAGGAAAATGTTTTGTTTCTCATTAAAAAAAAAAAAAAATCTCAAACAAATATTTCTTTAATGAAAAAGTTTGTTTAACATAATAAATGACCTGTGGTGTTTTTAATTTCAGAAAGTTGAGAATTTACGCCGAAGTGAGTGGGAGGAGTAAAATTTTCTGACGTATAAATTGTGAGCCTAAAAGTATGCAGTAAAACGTAGGAGTAGGCGCTTACATACTCCAGATGCCTTACCTGATAAATGCGTCAGCACTTGAAATTATACATAAAAAAATGTTTTGCGCAAAGTTAGCGTCATCAGATTTTTTGTTTATTTTTCATTTTTATCCACGCCCTCAAGTTCGACAACCTGTTACATACATAAACATGACCGTTAGATATACATACTTGAATGTCATTCGTACTACATATGCGCATAATTCCCTGCTGCTTTCGTTTACAACTTTTTTCCTTTCGCTTTTTAGCATTCTTATTGTTGTTGTATTCTTATGCAATTCCCATTTGTCGTGTTTTGCTTTTTCCAGCTCTCAATAAAATGAAAGATATGTATGTACTTGTAACAAAAAAACAAACAAAACATCAATTTCATGAATGGTTAAGCAGAAATTTTACAAGTGTATTGTCTGCACGTGTTGCTCGGCTCTCTTATTCCCTTATGCATAAAATATGGATAAGTTTATTTTCGTAATGTATCAGAAAAGTTGTGTTCATTTTTCAAGCAAAATATACTTTTCTTCATGCTCTAGCATCCCGTGGAGTTCACGTTTATTTACGGTTGCATATTGTACTACTCTTCGTGTGACAGCAGCAAAGGAAGCAATAAATTCGATATATGTTTTTTTTCCGGTTTTGGTTTTAGCTGAGAAAATATTTTGTATACTCCAGCAGCAAAATGTGTGACATAAATCTTATGTAGTTTGAAAAGAAATCTGAAGGGAAAATATTTTTCTCAATTTGTCTATGCACTTCGCCAAAAAGCGCGAGAAGAAGAGCCCATAATTGTAAAATATTTCTGAAGCAAGCAGAAAACAAAATATTTTTCTTGAATTTGGAGGGCATTTTGGCAATGAAAGCCGTTTTTTTTTTGTTTGTTTTTCTTTAATTTCCAAAAGATGTGCATGGTAAAGAAATATTTTTCGGCAAATATGCACAGAATTTTTAAAGCAGCTGTTCAAAAATTATCATAAAAAAATTTTATTTTCAAAAAACTATATGCATATTTAACACAGAAATTATAAAAAAATTATTAGAAAACAATTTAAAATTAATTTTCTTTAAAGTAAATGTTCCAACAATTCGTAAAAATTATTCAAAGTCGATAACAATTTTTAAACTAAATTAAAAACAACAAATAAAAAATTTAATTGAAACCCCAAAAATCCCCCCCGCTCAATAAAAATGAGGTGATAGAAATAATTTACATGTAAAACACTCTTCAAAATTTATCAACAACAAACCAAAAAAGAAATATTTCTCTAAAATTATGCTGGATTTTCACTAGGCATTAAATGCAAAAATTGTTATGACCAAGTTGGGCATTAAAAAATATTCATATTACGTTAAGAAATGTTCGTTCAATTCAATTCCACGTGGCATTTTTTAAATGCCTCGAATTTTTTGTCATTTTAATGCCTAGTGGAAATTCGGTACTAGTTTTCAAAGAAAATCTGTCATTTTTTATACCTTATTGAAATTTACTAATGAAATAAACTTTAAAAAATTTGTTCCCCGAAAATAAAGCCCAGAAACTAGATATCAGAAAAAAACTTCTTCTTTCAGACCCTGTCGAGTATAGAAATTTTGAAACTAATTATCGAAAACTGATCACGTTAAACTTTATATTAAATTGGAAAAATTTTAACATTTTTTCAATCATCACAAAAATTACCTGCTCAATGAAGAAAAGTTAAAAAAAATAAATTTTTTAACATTCTTTGGACAAATTATTTAAACTAGTGAAATACACTTGGCAAAACAAACAAATTTAAATTTTTTTAATAAAAAACTGCATATTATATACATATCGAGCCCTAACCGCCAAAATAACGTAAGCGACATTTTTTTCAAAATTTTCTTTTTGATGCAGAAATATTCCTAGAGCATCTAGATGCAATTATGCATCAAAAAGAAAATTTAAAAAAAATGTCGCTTTCGTTATTTTGGCGGTTAGGGCTCGATATGTACATGTTCCTCTACGGACCACATGTTAGGGAGAGAAATTTAAAAAAAAATTATCAGAAAAAACTTTCAATTAAAGCATTCCCTTTTCAAAGCTAGCTTTTTAGACCCCTGCCGAGCTTAGAGATTGGAAACAAATTATCCAAAACTGATCATAATAAATTTTGAATTAAGTTAAGAGATTAGCCAATTTTATTAATATTCAAAAAACATAACCTGCTCAATAAAGAAAAGTGAAAAAGAAGTACGATACACGCTTTTCGAAGTTTATCACATAAAATTAAAAAAAAAATATTTTACTCAAAACTTATTTTTCATAAACTTTTAATACTTTTTTCCCAAAATAAATTTAAAAAGATATTTACATACTTACGTACCAAACAACTGATAAGCCTAGAAATTATGAAGAAAAAAATTTCAGACAAAGATATAAACAAAAATATTTGCTTTTCAAAACCTAATTTGAAAAAGTAGTGCATTTTCAGTTTTCTGTCCAGCGTAGAAAATGCCAAATAAATTGGCCATAACTGATCGCAAGAAATTTTAAATTAAATCCAAAAAATTTAATTAAATTACAAAAAACTTTACATGCCCAAAAAGAAAATTGGTAAAGACTTAAGTTATACAAACTTTTTTTTCAAAGGAAATCTATCCACTTCTTTAACATCTTTAAACAAATTATTTAAAATGATAAAAATAAAATTTCCGAAAAAACACAAACACTTTTTTTTATAAAATAGAAAGCCATGTACATACATATGCATGCATCTACGAAAAATCTGTAAGGCCTAGATATTATGAAAAAAAATATTATTAGAAAAAATTTTAAATTTAAATATATATGTACATTAAAAAATTTCAAAAACAAATTCGATTTTTAGTCACCTGTTGTGCAAAGAAATTTATTAAAAAGAAACAATAACAAGTAAGAAAGTCTAAGTTCGGGTGGAGCCGAACATTAAATACCCGGCGCAATTATTAAATATATGTTTTCCACCTTTCCGAAAGCTACCGCTACACGATAAGCCGGGGTGTATAAATTTTAAGTAAATTAGCGTCCTTAAATTTCGAAATATTGCAGTTTCAAGCATTTCTGAAATATACCGTTATATGAAAAGCGGTCGTAATTTTAGTCCGATTTCAATAATTTTCAACGCTTTGCTTTTATGTGGCAAGCACAATAACCATACCGAGTTTGGTTCAAATTGCTAGAACGGTTAGCGAGATACATATATGTGATCATAAGTGGTCGGTGCCACGCCCATTTTCCAAAATTGTATCATAAGCGTATTTCTTGGTAAAAAATTGTTGCAACCATCAATTTTGAATAAATTAGCTTTAATATTTACTGATTTATCGAGGATTTCGTATTTTTCTAAATTACCGTTATTTGGGATGTGGGCGTGGTTATTGTCCGATTTTAAAAATTCTCGGCCATTTGGAATGTTGTAGCAGGACCAACAACTGTGCCAAGTTTGGAAGAAATTGGTGCAGCGGTTACCAAGATATACACATGTAACCATAAGTAGGCGTGGCTACGCCCATTTGCCAAAATTTTTTAATATTCTTATTTTTCGTCTAAAACTCATTGTAAATATCAATTTTGAGTGAATTATCTTCAGTAGTTACTAAAATATCGCACTTTTCGTATTTCTGAAAATTACCGTTATATGGGAGGTAGGCGTGGTTATTGTCCGATTTCGCCCATTTTCAATACCATCCGTCCTATGTCCAAAAGAAGTCCACGTACCAAGTTTCGTTACGATATCTCAATTTTTACTCGAGTTATCGTGTGCACAGACGGACAGACGGACGGACGGACGGACGGACGGACGGACAGACAGTCACCGCTTAATCGATTTCTCTTTTCATTCTGATCATTTATGTATACATTTGTCTATATCTATCTCGATTAGTTTTGCCTGTTACAAACAACCGTTATGTGAACAAAGTTATAATACCCTTGTGCACAAGTGCGCTCGGGTATAAAAAAATCACTTTTTCAATGTAATAAAGTGTTAAAAAGAAATTGCATGTAAACCTAAAACATCAAAAATTATTTGAATTTGAAGTTACTTATTAACAAAGAATAACATAAGTACAACAAAAATTGGTACGTACATACGGTTGAAGAGGACATAGAATACATTTGCAAATATACAGGATATAAATTGCACAAAATAAAATAAATAAATAAATGTAACTTTCTTAGAATCACAATATTCACTTACATCTATCCTCAACTCTAAACTATATTAATGTTAATTATGATTGTTAAAAAAAAATATTTTTCAAAGAAAATCTTCTTTCCACTCTTTTAACAAATCGCTTAACACCAATTTACTTTAACAGAAGACATTTGATTTCAGAATATTTAAGAAATGTCATCTTCCCCCACGCTCTTTCTAATAAAGCGCAAATGAATTGATTTTTATTTATTTTTATTTCAAGCACGAAGTCGACTTTGACTTGTTTGGCTTTGTGAGTCGCCTG